AAAAAAAGAGGATGAGGGTAAAGAAATTCGAAAAAAGTGTTACCACACCCCGCTTCACTAGAAAGGGAGCTTAATTTTTCTTCACAAAGCGAACAAGTATGTATTTATATTTACATATTTGTACGCATCGAAGAAGCACCTTTCAAAGAATGGTAGGTACCTTGTTTTTATGCGGCTCTTTAAGAGACAATACAAAACAGGTGCTCTAAATATTGGGTCACTTGAATAGGGAGAGTGCTACCCTCCATCCGCCGTAATAAAGTTAATAAAATTGTACTTACGCCCCTTTAAGAATTGAATGAATGGTGCCCGCTGGCGGCGATTTTGCCTGTGTGTTGTCTGGCTAACCTACATATAATTTATTGTTCAGTCAGCGGTGGCAATTCACTATGGCACCACACAGCGCGGATGTCATTATGCACATAGCGAATAAATAATTTGAGGGTATGTATGGTTATCCCTCGCAGAGCTGACGTAAACTACTCTCCAAGATTGTGCGATTTGACACCGCTAGACTTTCTTCTAGTGTCTAAGAAAGTTTTATTGCGAAAACAGTTTTGGAGAGGATGCCACCTGTTACTAAATTTCAGTCGGATATCTCGAAAACTGAGAGACTGAATATTGTTTCTAATTATTTTTGTAAAATTTTCCATTGGTCTGTCTATCTCTTCTTTTTCTGGTACTTTTGAAAAATCGGACCAAATTTATAATTTCATATTCATGTTCATTAAATGTATTATTAAAGCACGTTTACATATATGCATGTACATCTAATTTCAATCAAAACATGTTCGTTAATCACCCCATTTACATAGTCAAATCCTGGGTTTTTAGCTATCAAATTTGTTGTTTTTGTTTTTCATGTAACTCAAGAAAAAGTTTCATTTCAGTAAATTTAAATAGATTTTAACTTAATGGTTTTTTAAAAATACCTCAACCTCCTTTCCTGCCAACGTCCATTTTTGTTTGCTTTCGCAATTGATGTTCCACCTCTTCTTCGCAAAAATAGTCGTTAAAAATAGGTTTAATCTGCGATTATTTTATAAGTACAAATTAACGTGGGAGGAATTTCGTACGACTTATCTGTTTTTTAAATACTGATTATGAGGTAAAGCTCGAAAATGAGAATAATCTATGTAGATATCGTCGTTTAAAGTACAAAACCGCGTATCGTGGTTCTACAAAACCTCGTAACTGACATTTGTGCCAGAAATGAGATTTGCCCACCGGAAGCTGCAGACATCAAGCCTTATTAATTTATACTAAAATATCGATATTTAGATATAGAAGGTATAGATAATTAGGGATAAAAGAAAGAACCGTGTTGAAATAAGACAGATTTTACTCTCTCCGGTCAAATTTTGGCAACCTCACACACGAGGTTTTGTACTTTAGACGACGATATGCAAATATACTTTCAGGCAGATCTACAAAAAGGCCTCACATGCAATTTCATATACATACATACATTTATGTTACCAGTTTTTTTTTTTTTTTTTTGTAAATTTAAAGTTACTTCCTAATTCTTTATAAGAAGAATTAATTGGCCAGCAAAAAAGCTTAAAACGCCATCTCCAATTTTGAATTAAATTATAAAATTATAAATTACTTTCAATGTCCTTTAAAAAATTAGTGATAGATTTATATGCTTTGCCATTAGTATTTTGATGAAATTCAATTAATGATGAAGTATTTTTGAGTATTGGGTATTTATCACGTGAATT